CCTGATGAGGAAAGACGCCCCCCCTAAATCCGTAGGCTGTCCTTCAAGCAGCCCGTCAAATCATTTATTACATGCTTGTGATGAAAGACAAAAGCCGTTCTGGGACTATTGGGAGTCCAATACGGTCGGCTGCTCCCCATGCCGGTCTCTCTGCCCACACAGCGACTTTTTGGGCGGCATCTGACTCTGAGAGCCCTCACGACGGCCTCGGTGGGCCCCATTATTGGTTCCAGGGCCCCTCACGACATCCTTTGAGGGCTCCCACGTTGGCTCCACGGGCCGCTCTGGCATCTGAGGTCCCCACGATGGGCTCGAGGGCCCTCAAGCATCATGAAGACCTATAAGGGCTCCACAGTGGTCTCCGAACGCCACCACGGAAGCTTGTTTGGCCGCGCTGGACTATGATGACCCTAACGATGACCTCTGAAGCCCCTTACGACCACTTTTGAGGGCCCTTACGATGACGTTTGGTGTCTACTGCAGGCTCGAAGGGACTACTGATTCGTTCAGGCGATTCACGTGCCCATTTATGTCACTTATAGTGCAGGGGGCATCTTCCCCAACGCCAGGGGGCGTCTTTCCCACCCTGTGGGGTAAGATGCCCCCTTTGACTTCTTCAGGAAAATGCTTAATAGCAAAAACAGTTATCATATTTCAGGCACGAAAGTGTGATATTTTTGGAGAAAAATGATGTCGGCTTCCGTTGAAACTCCAAGTTTTTGCTTTCCGATCGTCATTTTCGAATAATATATGACATAGTAAAACCATGGGCATCTTTCCCCACTCTCCCCTATGCCAACGGCTATCTCAAGAACCGATAGAGCTACAACGCCGCGGGAAAGCGCATTCGATAGCTCTTTTGACGTTCTCTCGCTACATGTCCTCAGATTTGACCTCAGGTCAACGGTTTAGCCTCCAGAGGGCACAAGCTCCAAAATAGCAGTTTTTACGAAAAGTGTTTTCTCGGCAACAACTTTTGACTCAAAAGAGCCATGACATTACTTTTGCCAGCATCGTTTACCTCTCGTCGAGACGCGTCGAATGAACTAAAATTTGACCTTGAAAGGTCAACTTGAAAATTTGACCTCAGGTCAAGGTCATGACCTGACCCGATCCGCAACGACCAACGTCGAGCCAAACACATGTAAGGCGTTTTCATCGCTCTATAGTCCGTTCCATATCAAGCTTGCTGTCGGAGTTTCTTCGGCAGATCGCTCCTCCGCTCAAGAATTTGCGTCGTAAAATGTAAGAGCTGTATGGAGTTCTATAGCCTTGAGCTGTATATACAGAAATCACGCACTGCCTTCAGCAGGGCACTTCCACTGCAAACTTGAAACGGAACAGAGTATAGCGCGCCTCTATCAGAAGTTATTAGCGAAAAAAACTGTTAGATTATGTTCGTGGCCCGAGATGACCTCGGGGACATAACGAGGGGGTCACAGTTGCCATTTTCTGGTTCAGTGTGTCAATTTTACCTGCATCTGGATGTTTGAGAGTGTCTAGAATGGCGTTCGTGCAAAAAAAGACGCTTTTCAATTTTCTCCCATTGATTTATAATGGAGAGGCCGCAAAATTGACCTGACCTTAGGTCACCGATATCAAAATTCTGAGATATGCATTTTATAGATAGGTACTGTTACTTTTATCAATCGCTGAAAGTTTAAAGGCAATCGTTCAGTCGGTGTAGCTATGACGAGCATTCTTATTTTTTTCTGACATGAGGTCACTTGGCGTAACTTGGTGACCTGACCTTAGGCACCCTGGGTCTGAAATTTTCACAATATGTGCGGAAAAGATGCACGAACAGGTGTGCGCCGCCTTTTTTTAGATATCTGCGAAAAACCGCAGGGGGAGGGTGTTCAAACAACCCCCCGGCCCGGCGCGGGTTAAGTTTGTTGATTTCGTCGTTAAAAGCTATTTAGGTATTGTCCAATCCAGCCGCCAGTGACCCGGCTTCCCGTCTCCGCTGACTCGGCCCCGGCAGATGACGGCGGGCGCTACAAAATTCGCTCTCGATACATATTGTTTCCCTGCAATGTCCATCCACCTACATTAGCCCTCGCCCTGGCAGGGCATTTTTCTTAACACGGCCTGGCAGGAGGGGGGGGGTTAATGTGACCCCCCCTCGCGGTTGGCTCCTATGACACCTAGAAACACCAAATTTGGTAGGTAGGTGGGCCCCCTAGAATTTTCGCTAAATATTCGGTCAATATTTAGGGAGATTTTTGGGGAGCTCGACTCGGCTCTTCAAGAGGAACAGAATGATACCAGTTTGAAAGCTTTATCTTTATTACGTGACAAGTTTGGCACAAACGTTATTTGACATCAGTTGACCTCATTGGACCTGACCTTATGGATAAGTACACCAAACAAAAAAGCACCAAGTGACATACTGTTAAATACCTACTAATTATGGCTTCAAAGCACAAAAGTGATAGAACGAAGCTGATATCTCCAGTATTTTCCGAATTGAATATTTTCCTGTAGGCGATTACGACGTAATGACCTCTACCTAACTGACCTCAGGTTAGTGACATAAAAAACGAACTATATGTTATACACTATACAGCTCGGTGAACTTAGCACATCCTGCAAGTTTGAAGGAAATCAGTCCACTCCAAAACAACTGTGAGTTGGACAGGTGCAAAAAGAAAATTGAAATTTGACCATGATCTTGTACCGGTTTCTCTGACCTGGTGACCTGAACCAAGGTCACCCGGACCTGATTTTTTTTGGTCATATGTAAAAAGGTTGCTCCATAGGCTGGGCCAAATTTGGCGGCGCTGCGCACCCCCGTTTTTACGCTGTTTTTGAAAAACCTTAGGGGGAGGTTGAGTCTGCCAGGGCGAGGGTTAACTAGGTGGTGTGTTCAGTGACGGTGCTCTGGACCGGCAGTGTGCTCACTGACTGTGTTCTGGACCGGCAGTGTGTTCAGTGACGGTGCTCTGGACCGGCAGTGTGTTCAGTGACGGTGCTCTGGACCGGCAGTGTGCTCAGTGACACCGGCAGTGTGCTCAATGACGGTGCTCTGGACCGGCAGGGCGATGGCCGAGGAGCTGGCGAAGGAGCGCGGCGGCCGGCAGCCGGAGGCGGCCTCCCGCCTGGGCTGCTGGGGCGGCGGCCTGGACCGTTTCTCGGAGCCGGAGGTGCAGAGCCGCGTGGGCCGCCAGCACTGGGCGCACGTGGCACCCGACCTGCACACGCTCGGCGACCAGTCGCCCGCCCAGCACTTTGCCGACTGGAAGAGCGCGCTCAAGCGCAGCGTCAGCGTGGACTACTGAGGGAGGGTGCGCCGCCGTGCCGCCGCCGTCCGGCCTGCTGCAGCGCGGCGCGGACGGACGTCAGCCGCCGCTGGCGGGCTGTGAGCCTTGGCGTGGGCACCAGGCTCGGGCATGAGCCAGCGGGCACACGCTGGGTGCATAGTTAGACGCATATGGTGCTCGGACGGGGTTCCTTCATTGCTGTGTGATTATCACGGAGGGTTTCAGACGGCAATCATAGCTGATCTTCTGTTTGTCGCCGTGCGACCTGGCTGCCGGATGGTTCAATTTTGAACGCTGTTGGCCTGCAGGCCACCCTGATATATTGTTGCTATGCAATTAGGTAGGTACCTACCCATGGTCGTCGTTCCCTGGAATAGTGGTTTATCGTTCTATGTTGCGTCTAGGTCCGCCCTGGTAACGTGTTAAGCTCAAGTACCTAGTATACGATTGTTGGTAATGAATCATATTACGCACAGATTGTGTCCGCCCCCCCCCCCCTTCCCCACGCCAACAATACACCGGCGAGGAGGAAAGGGAGCGACTTTATCGCCGCTGACGCTTATGCCGGCGGAAACGGAGACACTTCATCGTCCTCGTGTGCCGGGGGGCAGGGAGTGGCGCGACACGGCGGTGCTGGTTGGACGCCCCCTCCCGCCACCGGTGCACTCCCGGGGAGGTGTCGGCTGCACTCCCGGGGAGGTGTCAGTGCGTGGCTGGGTCCATTGCGGCGTGCCCCTGTGCAGGTTCCGCTCGCTGCAGTGACGGGTCACAGATGTCCCCACTGTTGCCGTGTGAACGAGTGGCTGACGCTCCGGGTCCAGTGTCCCCCAGCACCCCAGTCCGGATCCTCCCTACTGCCCAAGGCCCACGCAGGGTGAACCCACCAGTCTGACAAGCAGAGCGCAGTGGAGTCGATCCGAGCTTTTGTGCAGCTGTCCCAGCCGGCAGAAGGAGCTCTGCCAGCCTCTGACATACCGGTCTGTCCGGACCGCCTCTCACGAGTCTCATTTCGGGCGACAGCCGGGCGGTCAAGGTGGTGGGCTGTGAGCGGCACGTGAGCGGCGAGCGGTGAGCTGAGCTGTGGGCGGTGAGCGGTGAGCGGCAGGCTTGGCGTGTGAGCGAATCTGATCCGCCGTTTATTTCCGCCGTCACGCCGCACGAGCACGGAGAGCGCCGCGCGTACCACAAATGCCGCGTCACGACCAGCCGACCACGCACACAGAGGAGCGGCGCCGCCCTTGACGACAAGGCTGTGAGGGTGGGCGCAGCACCGGGGACCGATCATCTAGGCAATAGCCCCCCCCCCCCTACTGCCGCGCAATGCCAACGCAGCCGGGCGGCCCCGCGGTCCAGGCCTTTATAAAAGAGCATGGAAGGGAAATGTCGCAGCGGATAGAACGATCAAAATGAATGGGGAACAATACTGGCTGGGCACTGGTCAACCAAGGTATGGACGAATACGGATGTGACCGCTCCGGCCCCCGTACGTCACAATTGTGCTATGAGCGCGCACCATGAGGGGGGGGGGGCATTGCAGCCGTCCGGGACGGCGTGCCGTGTGCGCGTCTGACCTAGAGGCTCGTGCACAACATCCACAGGGGCGCGGCCGCGGCTTTTGTCATCGGCTGCGGCGCTGGGCCGCACTCTGTGTATGGATTACAGGGAAACGCGCCGGATGGTCATATTACAACTGCACAGCTGGCACGACACCCCACTGAAGTACCTGAAAAGTCACGGTCGCTACGTACAGGTACATTCGTTACGTGTGGCTTACACGCAATGTTAGAAAATACGACCGACGTGCGGGCCCAGGCGGCGGCGCCCGGGGCTCACCGGCCGACGGAAGGGCGGGCACACTTGACGAGACGGCACACCGGGTCACACACGGGCGTCGGAGCTATACCGGGTGCGTTCCACCAGCGGCCGGTAGCGCGGCCGGTCATCACAGCTGGGCTACATCTACACACCGCGGGGTCAGTAGCCAACCACGGCGACGTCCGCTGGGTGCTACACCTACCCCACAGCGGACAATACTGAAACGGACACCGGAACGGCACCCCAACCACAGCAGCGGGAGCGGAACCATCCAGTAGATAATGTTCACTAACACTAGCCCCAGCCGTATCTATTGCCAAGTGAGAGCCTGCTGAGAGTGGCCGGGCCGGGCCGTACGACGCCTGCGTCGACCGTGCCAGCGAGTCTGTCAGGACTCTGGTGGCCTGATGGACTGGCCGAGCCGCCCGCGGGTCGGGTCGGTTAGAGCTCTGATAGACTGGCGGAGCCGCCCGCGCTACAACCGCTCGGAGACTGCCGGCCATAGTTAACCACTAACGACGCCATCGAGCACGCGCCGCCGACAGCAGCGTTCATGGGCACTCATAAACGTCGGATCGGGCCGCCGGAGCGGCGCCATTTCCGCCCAAATTGGACCAGAGTGTGGAACTATTTGTAACACTGCGCGCCGCTCGCGAGAATAACAATAGGCACACTCGCTCTACACAAATAATACATCCAGTTTGAGTATTGGTACCAATGTTCTAACACTACACGGACGCGTGCCGTAGGACGAGTGTCCCTGTAATCTGCATTGATATGGGACTCCCACAACTGAGTCGCTACGGCTCGTAACTCCGCTCAGATCCTGATACCAGCGGCCAGTGAGTGGCGGCCACGACGCGACGCCAACTACAGACCTAATGCGTCCAACTCTGTCGGCCTGGCGCCGCACACAACTCCCTGCCGGCGGCGCAGCCCGGGGCGCACAGTGCAGCAGCCCGGGGCGCACAGTGCAGTCCGGGGCACACAGTGCAGTCCGGGGCACACAGTGCAGCCCCGGGCACACAGTGCAGCCCGGACAAACAGCGCAGCGTGGGCGCACGGCGCAGCGCGGGCAGGTTTTGGCCGCGGCATCAGCTCCGTTCACCGCCCGCCCGCGGTGACCGGTTGTCTGGCCGGACGGTATACCGGCCGCTCACATCTGCGTGGCCTCGATGCCGTTTTCCACCTTGATGACGTCGCCGTCGTGGGCGCCCATCTTCTCGAGCTCGCGCTTGCTCAGGTGGTTGACGATGCCCGCGCCCAGTGAGTCGCCCAGCACGTTGATGGTGGTCCGGAATCGGTCCCTGCCGGAGGACGGTGTCCCAGCCGTCAGACCCAGGCACACGGTCCGAACAGCAGCCAGACAACTCACAGTCTGTCCCCTTCTGCATCACACCATTAACTGTTGTCACTGAACACTACTATTTCATGCATGAAACGTAAAGCGAGCTCCGTTTGATAACTGCAATCGTGACATGATTCATCCTCGAAGCCGCGCACGAACATTAGTAGAACATTGGACGACTATCGAGACAGGCGGCGTCCGTCCCAACCCCCATGTGGGTCCTATACGGATATAGCGCTGAGTTAACCGTCAATGCGCTGCAAATATTGGCGTAGGAATATACCTAGTATATGCGTATATATATACCTACCTGATATAAATGGGAAAGGCAATGGGAACGTGTTGTTTTTATATTAAAATTGGTAACCAATTTTAATATAAAAACAACACGTTCCCATTGCCTTTCCCATTTATATCAATACGTCTATGTAATAATAATATACCTACCTACTTCCACAAAATGGCAGAATTATTTGAATAGCCAAGGTGTGTGCCCAAATGCATAGTTTTGCATCTTACAGGACATTGTCTAGATAGATGGCCTAAAACCGCCCTGAGACATTATGCAAATGGCTATCATTTTTCCGTCTCACTGGCGAAATATGGCGTCTTTGGCAGTGATCTGTGCGCTGGGTCGGGAGAAATCGAGGCTCGGCTCTAAAACTGATACATGGCCGCCCGGTGTCATTGTGGTCGATCGCTCATCGCGGTTCCTGGCGCCCGGCGCCCACCGCCCTCCCCCGGCGCCCACCGCCCTCCTCCCCCCCCCCAGAAAAGCGCATTCGATAGCCCTTTTACAGACGTTTCTGAATAATAGTCTCAGATTTGACCTCAGGTCAACGGTTTGGCCTCCAGAGGGAAAAACTGTAAAAATAGCAATTTCCACGAGAAATGTTTTTCGGCCATAACTTTTTATTCAAAAGAGCCACGATATTACTTTTGGCGGCATCATGTTCCTCTCGTCGGGAAGCGTCAAATGAATTATTTGTTGACCTTGAAAGGTCATTTTGAAAATTTGACCTCGGGTCAAGGTCATGACCTGACCGGAAAGTGGTATGTTGCATATCAGTCGATCCGTAACGTCAAGCTGAACACAGCTGACGTGTTTTCACCGCTCTAGCACGTCTCTATCAAAAGCTGTAGCAAAAAAAAAAAAAACTGCTGCTGACCGTTCATGACCTGAGATGACCTCCGGGGCATATGTACAGAGGGGTCACAGGTGCATTTCTTCGATTCAGTATGTCATTTTACCAATGAAACAATGTTTGAGAACGTTCTGAACGACATTTGTCCAAAAGAGGCGGATTTCAATTTTCTCCCATGGACTAATGGAGAGGTCTCAAAATTGACCTGACCTTAGGTGACAGATAAAAAAAAATTGACATAAACAGTTTATACATATTGTTACTCCTATCAATCGCTGAAAGTTTCAAAGTGATCGTTCAGTCAGTTTAGCTATAGCGGACCTTCAAACTTTTTTCTGAGGTAAGGTCACTTGACGTGACCTGGTGACTTGACCTTGAACGATCCAAGTCTGAAATTTTCACATGAGTGGAAAGGATGTATGAATAGGTGTGCCGCGCCGCCGTTTTTTTAATATTCGCGAAAAACCTTAGGGAGAGGGCGTAAAAACGCCCCCCCCCCCAGCACGGCGCGGGTTACAGTTAGGTACCCCCTTTCTCGCCGACACGCAGCCCGCCATCAGCCATCATCAGCTCGCCTGAGTATGTGTTGGAGAGCACCAACCACTCCCTGACTTGTTGGGCAGGCTGCAAAGGCTGGCCCATTTTCAGCTCTGCCAGGGATTTCCGCTGTTTCCTTGTTATCTCTGTCATGGCGACGTCCACAAACCAGTAGTCTAGGCAGGGCAGATCAGGGGATTTCGATACCCTGCTGACCCTGGTGGCGAGTCTGATTCGCTGCTTTTTTCTCCCTGGAGACTGCCTCTTCAGTGGACTGCATCCAAGCTTGATATGGGCCGGGCCGTTTGAAGGTTATGTATGGCGTTAAACTTCTTGGAGCTACATTTTACGTCTTTCTAATGTTTCTCCTCACGATCGTCATGTTTCGAACTGCCCCATACTCAGGCATCGGAAGGATTGTGATTGCAGGATTGCAAAATCCTGATTGCATTCCTTTTTGGTGGATTGCACCTGGATTTGAAATCCATTCCAAAAAACAGGATTTGATTGCGGATTGGATTGCATCATACTTCCAATTTTTGCAATCCAATCCGTATTGTGTTTGATTAGTGCTTTGAAATGGTTTGTTGCGATTGAAAATTATGAGATCGGCTTCATCGGCTTAATGTACTTTGCTATCAAGGGCTTTACATCGAAACTTGAAATAATTTAAACGCTTTTAATTTAAACGCTCAAAATAATATAGGTACGCTGATGAACTACATAGGAAGGGCAAAATTACGTATTTGAGGGCGAGTTTTAAAAATATAAAACACTGGTTGGTAGAGGTTTAAATGTGGGGGTGTTTGAGGCAAAAAATATTTCCCATAAAATACCTGTGCTTTAGATAGGAATTACTCGCAAGACTAGGTACTAGAAATGGGTGATTTGGGGATGGAGGCACGGCCCTATGCCCCCCTCCCTCCCCCAGATCCACTAGTGCACATAATAATACAACAGGATTGCAAAAAAGGATTGCGGATTTGATCACAATCCAAGTGAAAAAAGGGGATTGCGGGTAGGAATGCAATCCACTTCGGCACTAGGAATGTGGATTGGGAATGCAATCCTTTCATAAAGGATTTTACCGATGCCTGCCCATACTCCATTATCACCCACTCGTATTGTTCTTTATTGAACGGCAATGGACTGGGCGAGCCCGTTTGGTTGGGCATTTTCAGACCCCCCGTGGGGTCAAGACCGTCGGTAAAAACGGACCAGTCATGATACCATACAAAATGTTCCAGATGCATTCGACACGTGCATTGTTTTTGTCCACGCGTTTTTCGATTTTAAGACCACCATTGATGTTTACTTTTTACCAGTTGAAAAACTCACCCTGTATAGTAAGCAGATTTGGAAAACTGATTTTTGCCAGAACGATCCAAATTTAATTACAAATCAAATGGCGATGCAAAATCCTTAACATGACCGTTATTCTTCCATTTCTTTGCAGCTAAAACAATATAAAATAGCTCCACCCTAGGGGACTATTTTATAAAGGCTTCTCCTAACAAACTAACTTTCATCACTGTCACTAGCTGCACCAAAATGCGCCTACCTGAAAGGTGTTATTGCAAACAACGTTTTTGCGATTTAGGTATATGCTATAAGAAATATGAACCATTTTTGAACCCCCTTTTTTAAATAGAACTCATCAGCCATCCCTTTAACGTCTCTTCTGGACCGCAATGGACAACAAATCCTACCTAGCTGCTAGGTAGGCACATGTAAGAGAAATAAATAAAACTCAATTTCCAATGCCAGTAAGATCAGGTAGGTGAAACTCGGTTAACCTATGATGATTTTTAGAGACCTGACCTTTGACGTGGTAAAACAGGCACATTCTCACATAGTATTATCCGCATCTGTGTTGACTGATTATGCATCCTGAGCTCGGCAACACAGTTAGCAATAACGTGTTCCGATAGCTGCCAATGGCGCAGCGGCAGGGGGGGGGGGGACACGTCTGCCACCATTAGGTACTAGGCCGGATCACTGGCCGCTCGTAATCCCTGGAACACGCACCGGCAAACAGCGCGTCTCTGTCCAGCCGCTGGTCAATGCCCGATCGGCTCCGCGTCTCTGTCCAGCCGCTGGTCAATGCCCGATCGGCTCCACGTCTCTGTCCAGCCGCTGGTCAATGCCCGATCGGCTAATCAGACATTTCTCAAAATAAGGGTATTCCGCCCTCCGGTCTCTAGCCGTGGTTTCCATGGCAACACGCACAGTCACCGCCATCGAGAACGTCAAACCTTGTGGCCAGGGGCTCGGGAATTACGTTCAGACTGGGGGGGGGGGGGGGCACACCATAATAGAGATCAACCTAGGGTACCCCCAAATCTAGTTTTCTCACCGGTTTTAGGCCACTTATTTTTCATTCCTTGGCTTTTTCAACAAAAAGAAAAAAAGCAAAAAAGTGTGGCATTCCGTCTCAAAGCTGTGGGGGCATCGCCCCCACGGCCCCAGAGTTGGGTTGGGGGGGCAAGCTGCCCCCACTGCCCCCCCCCGGCTCCCGCGCCTATGCTTGTGGCGGTGCCAGCCGCGAGACAGATGCTGATTGGCGCCGCGCCGGCCGGCACGGTCCGTCCTCACCGAGACCATACATCGCTCGCCGTGTCACCGGAACACGGAGAGTCCATAGGCGCGGCTGACGGCGCCATTCACCACCCGTGCCCACCCAGCTGGCCGGTGGCGCTGGCCGCGCTGCCGGCCGACTCACAGCAGCCAGTCGACGGCCAGGATGAGCGACACGTCGCCGGCGGGCAGTCCGACCGTGTCCAGGACCATCACCATGGTGACCAGACCCGCCTGCGGGATGCCGGCCGCGCCGATACTGGCCGCCGTCGCCGTGATGCTGCAACAGAGGCACGCGTCAGCCGCCGACACACAACACCGGCACACAGTGTACGGCACACAACACCGGCACATGGTGTACGGCTCACAACACCGGCACACAGTGTACGGCTCACAACACCGGCACACAGTGTACGGCACACAACATCGGCACATGGTGTAAGGCTCACAACACCGGCACACAGTGTACGGCACACAACACCGGCACATGGTGTAAGGCTCACGTGTGTGTAAGACCAACTGTGTGTGTGGATGTCAGACAGGAAGCATTTCCAAATCGTTATAAGTTGTAATGGTCGAGTGTGCAAATCATAACTAGAGAAACTGCGGTCCAATAGATGATGGATAGAAGAGCCAAGGTAGCATAAATGATAGCTAAGCAAGGCTGCAGCTGCAGACAAATTTATAAATAATGTTAATGTAGGATGGATGGCCCGAGTGAAGGTATGCATGAAAACAACCATAAGGAGCAGTATCATGAGCAGTATCCGATGTGAGCAGTGTCTCTTGAGCATCAATGCCCAATGGAGTGTGGAGTATTGGTTACAAGTATCGATATGTAGTAACACATCGATCACAATAGGTACTGCAAAAGGGCGTCACTCCCACACCGAGTCGAGCCCCCTCTTCCCGGCGTCAGGACCTAGCAGTAGCCAGCCCGCGTGTCAGCGCCGTCACCCTCACCTGATGGCAGTAGCCAGCCCGCGTGTCAGCGCCGTCACTCTCACCTGATGGCGATGATCTGGCCGAGCCCGAGCGTGACGCCGCGCACCTGGGCGATGAAGATGGCCGCCACGGCCTCGTACAGCGCCGTGCCGTCCATGTTGATGGTGGCGCCGATGGGCAGCACGAACCGGGCGATGCGCGGGTCGACGCCGTTCTTCTCCTCCAGCGCGGCGATTGTCAGTGGCAGCGTGGCCGAGCTGGGGAGCGGGCGGGACACTATCAGAGCTGGGGAGCGGGCGGGGCACAGGTCAGGTCACAGAGCTAGGGAGCGGGCGGGACACAGGTCAGGTCACAGAGCTGGGGAGCGGGCGGGACACAGGTCAGGTCACAGAGCTGGGGAGCGGGCGGGACGCAGGTCAGGTCACAGAGCTGGGGAGCGGGTGGGACACAGGTCAGGTCACAGAGCTGGGGAGCGGGCGGGACACAGGTCAGGTCACAGAGCTGGGGAGCGGGCGGGACACAGATCAGGTCACAGAGCTGAGGAGCGGGCGGGACACAGGTCAGGTCACAGAGCTGGGGAGCGGGCGGGACACAGGTCAGGTCACAGAGCTGGGGAGCGGGCGGGACGCAAGTCAGGTCACAGAGCTGGGGAGCGGGCGGGACACAGGTCAGGTCACAGAGCTGGGGAGCGGGCGGGACGCAAGTCAGGTCACAGAGCTGGGGAGCGGGCGGGGCACAGGTCAGGTCACAGACCTGGGGAGCGGGCGGGACACAGGTCAGGTCACAGAGCTGGGGAGCGGGCGGGACACGGGTCAGGTCACAGAGCTGGGGAGCGGGCGGGACACAGGTCAGGTCACAGAGCTGGGGAGCGGGCGGGGCACAGGTCAGGTCACAGAGCTAGGGAGCGGGCGGGACACAGGTCAGGTCACAGAGCTGGGGAGCGGGCGGGACACAGGTCAGGTCACAGAGCTGGGGAGCGGGCGGGACGCAAGTCAGGTCACAGAGCTGGGGAGCGGGCGGGACACAGGTCAGGTCACAGTGCTGGGGAGCGGGCGGGACACAGGTCAGGTCACAGAGCTAGGGAGTGGGCGGGACGCAGGTCAGGTCACAGAGCTGGGGAGCGGGCGGGACGCAGGTCAGGTCACAGAGCCGGGGAGCCGTGCACAGTATAGGCCAGGTCACAGAGCTGGGGAGCCGTGCAGGGCACAGGCCAGGTCACAGAGCTGGGGAGCCGTGCAGGGCACAGGCCAGGTCACGGAGCTGGGCACAGGTCAGGCCACTGACCTGGAGGAGGTGCCGAAGGCGGTGGCCAGCGGCTGGACGATGTTGGCCACGAATCCGAACGGCAGCTTGCGCACCACGAGCGTGTAGAGCAGCAGCAGCACGACAAAGCCGTGCACGGTCAGCCCGATGAGCACGGTCAGAAAGTACATTCCCAGCTGGCCGAGCAGCACCGAGAACGACTCCAGCTCCAGAATCTTGGCCGCGATCAGGAAGCACACGCCGACAGGGGAGAGCCTGCGGCAGACGGTGGCCACAGGTCAGCAGCAGCCACAGGTCAGCAGCGGCCCGGAACAGCAGCAGCCAGAGGTCAGCAGCGGCCCGGGTCAGCAGCGGCCAGAGGTCAGCGGTCAGACGGGGTCGGGTCAGAGGTCAGACGGGGTCGGCTCAGCGGTCAGACGGGGTCGGGTCAGCGGTCAGACGGGGTCGGGGTGCGGCCTCTACAGGACATCCTTTCGACGCTACAAGAATGATCCCCGGGGATATAATGTCAATCAGACGGTTTGAGTCGCGGTCAAGCAAATTTGTCGCGGTCGCGGTCAAGCAGATTTTTGCCCCTGCAGGCTTACCCAACCTGACCTAACCTGACCTAATCTAACCCAAATTCACCTAACCTAGCCCATGAGATTATTATTATTATTATTATTATTATTATTATTTCATATTCCCACTAACCACCATTCGGTGGGCATTACAGAGGGAAACACATTGACACACATAAACAATATACATACAATACAGGCAGCGCAGTGCCCTGTCATTCATAAGCACGTACAACGAAATCAAAATGCAGAACAAAAGCGATTTTCTATAACAAAAAGTTTGATGAGACAGCGAAGCCTCATGAGTAACCGGCAATTATTACAACGAACAATGTGATATCACCGGAACAACACAACATACATATGCATAATTTTACCGCGTGATTTTCCAAAATATATTTCACAAAATCAGCTTTCGAATAGTTTCGGACATGAATGGGCAAGCTATTCCATAGTTTTGCACCACTGTAAGAGAAGGACGCTTTCTTCATTTCAGTCCTAGGTATAACTAGGTCAAGATTGCCTGATTGTCTTGTTTGTCGGTCTGACCGTCTCTCTTTAAAGGTAGTGTGCCAGCTTTCCTGGACCGTATGGAGTTAATGGCCCAGATAAGGAGAACCGGATTTTTAGAACTTATCCATTCCTTAAAAACTCATGGAAACGTCTTAAATTCTTCAAATTTTGAGTACCCCAGTGCGAAATTCGCCCCGACGGGTTGTCGGTCGTACCCCAACCACATTTCACACCACTATGAACAATAAATGCACACACTGAAATCGCTATTACCGACACGGGCGTATAGGAACGTCATGAAAAGTGGGTGGGCCACCCTGTCAAGGGGCCTCCTTTTCCAGGGGGCCTCCTATTTTCAGGGGCCTCCAACTTTTGCCTCGTCCTGCTGGCTTTCAAGTATGACCTCCAAATCTAGCTTCTGAGATCGGGCAGATGTACCCAGGGGCGTAACCGCTTAAGCGAACAGTGCAGAAAGTCCGCACCATTTTTAAAACTTATTCCCCCTCCGATTTTTTTTAGAATGTATTTGCCGCAAACGGCGCATGAACCCTGAAAACCCTTACACAAATGTCTTCCTCGTTTCCCAGGTGCCCCCATTAGCTTCATAGGCGCCCTCTTTGGCATATAAGCGCCCTATGTATAGTCATCAGAGACATCCCTATATGTCCCACAGTCGCCCCATTGTCGCATACAATGTGCGCTGATCATAGGTGTCTCTCTTTTATGGACACTTGAAGGCACCTCTCTTTGCCATGCCGGCGCCCCTGTTTCTTATGAATGCACCCCCATTGGCATTGATCAATTGCATTTTGCAGACCTCTATTGCATGTGGACGCCCATATATGTAGGCCTCAGAGGCGCCCCTCTTTCGCATTGAGGCGCCCCTATGGGCTTCATAGGCGCCCCTCTATTGCACGTAGGTGCCCTACTGTCTCAGAACCGCTCCCCTTTGGCATGGAGACGCCCATCTTTCGTACGGAGGAGCCGCTGTGGTTCTTAGAGACGGCATGGTGCTCCCAGACGCAGATGGGGCTCTCGGAGTCGACAGTGTGGGACCTTCAGTCGCTGATGGGTGCCCGCCAGATGTGGACCCTCGGAGACGCCGGTATGGGGCCCTCAGAGATGCCGATATGGGCCCTCAGAGATGCCGGTATGTGGCCCTTAGAGACACCGGTGTGGAACCCTCAGATACTTCAGTGTGAAGCCCTTACAATTGCTGGTGTGGAGCTATGAATGCGCTGGCTTAAATCCCTCAGAGGCCGGTACATGGACATAAGAGCTCAGTGAGAGCTTGTGTGGTGCCTTCAGTGGCCTTGTGGAGCCGTTAGACATCAACATGGTGCTCTCAGGAGCCGGTGAGTCCTCAGAGTCACCGGTGTGGGGCCTTCCGAGCTCCAAGATACTGGTCTGGGGCCCTCAGAGGTGTCGGGGTGGGTCCTTCAGATGTACCTATAGAGCCTTGAGATGCACAGGTGTGGTGGCCCACAGAGGCGCCGGTGTGGGGCCCCCAGAGCAACCGATATAGGGCCCTAAGAGACACTAGTATGACCCTCAAAGGCGCCGCTGTGTGGCGCTCATAAACACTGGTGTGGAGCCATCACAGGCGGGTGGAGCCGCTAGAGGCCGGAAAGGGCCCTTAGATGCCTACAAGGAGCCTTCAGAAGCCGGCGTGGCACGTGGGGATAAGCGTGTCTACTTAGGAGCCCTTGAGGTGCTCTCGTGAGCTCTGTGGGGCCCTACCGAGCCGAAATATGGCCACGGCCAGTTGCCGCCGCATGGCTCTTCGGACTATCATTCTCAGGGGCCTCATCTGCCTAGTTTGAATAGAAGGGCCTCTCAGACCATCAGCCTCATGGGCCTCCTCTGGCTAGTATAAATAGAAGGGCCTGTTAGATCATCAATCCTAGGGGCCTCCTCTGGTTAGTATAAATAGAAGAGCCTCTCAGACCATTAATCTCAGGGGGCTCCTGTGGACAGTATAAATAAAAGGGCCTCTCAGACCATCAGTCTCGGGGGCCTCCCTAGAAAAGTGTAAATGTGGATAGAGGGCCCCCTCAGATTCATTAGGAGTGGACCTCTCTGACCTCCCAGGGCTGAGGGCCCTCCCAGATCACCGGTTTCAGGGGCCACCAGTGGCCAGTTATATGAACAGAAGGGCCTCACAGCCATCAGCCTCGGGGGCCTCTTCTGACTGGTGTGAATATGAGGGCCTCTCATACCATCAGTCTCAGGGGCCTCCTCTGCCTAGTGTGATTATAAGGGCTTTCCAGGCCATCAGTCTCAGGGGACTCTTCTGACTGGTGCCGGATTGAGGGACCTCCCGGACCGAAAGTTTTGGGTGTCTCCTGTGGCCAGTATAAATAGAAGGGCCTCTCAGTCCATCAGTATCATGTGCCTCTTCTGCCTGGTGTGATTATAAGGGCCCCTCAGGTCATCAGTTTCAGGGGCCTCCTGGCTGACTACTGTGTAGATGGATAGGCCTCCCAGACCATCAGTCTCAGGGGCTTCTTATAACTATTGAGGATAGAGGGGCCTCCTCTGACTAGTGAGCAGTGGCGGCGGAATAGAGGGTGCAGGGGGTGCAGCTGCACCCCCATCGAAAAGCATGGGGGTGCAAACATATCTTTTTGCACCCCCAAAATCCGTTCAAGGAGCCCGTCGCACCATCCTATACATTTCTCCTGAAAACCAGTGATCGGGAAACGAACACTGATGTGGAATCATCCGGGATGTCCAATTATGGTCAGGAACGCCCCATGCTAGTCTTTGGGGCCCCCACACCGGCTAGAAGTGTCCCGACTCCGAGCCGCGTTTGGTGCTCCACGCGGCATCTGAGGCCCATGATGGCCTCAGAGGGCCCTTTTATGACGATCTCTGAGGGCTCCCACTTGAGGGCTTTGTCCCCTTGGGCCCTATAACGGTCACTAAGGGCCCTCATGACGACCGCTGAGGGTCCCACAGAGACTCCAGGGCCCCAAGGAGACTCCAGGGGCCACACTGGCCTCTGAGGGCCCCTATGACGGCCTCTGAGGGCCCTTACGATGATCTCTGAGGGCTCTCACGACGAACTCTGTCCCCTGGGGCCCTATAACGACCACTAAGGGCCCTCAGGACGACCGCTGAGGGTCCTACAGGACTCCAGGGGCCCCACTGGCCTCTGAGGGCCTCTACGACGGTCTCTGAGGGCCCTTGTGACGGCCCTAGACCCAAATCAAGTCTGACGGCCCATTTGACTTCAGAAGACCCATAAAGACCCTCAATATGGCCAAGGACCCTCATGACGACCTCTGGTGATCCTCTCGAAGGCATCTAAAGGCCCTCACAACAACTTCTGAGAACCCCAGGACGGTCCCTGAGGGGCTGAGGGCTCTGACGACGACCTCTCTGGGCCCTCACGATGGTCTCTAAGACCCAGCGCAAGCTCCAAAGGCCCACACTGCCTGGCGTCTGAGGGCCCCACGACGGCCTCTGAGGGCCTCGACGCAGGCAGGCTCCAGGGGCCATGCTGACCTCTGAGGGCCCTCTTGACGGCTTCTAGGGCCTAACGAAGGTTTCAAGGGCCAACGCTGGCCTCTGAAGAACCCTACGACGGCCTCGGAGGGTCTCAACTCAACGCAGGCAGGTGCCAGGAGACATACTGGCTTCTGAGGAACCCGCAGAGTTCAGATTCAGATGATCCAACGACCTTTGTGGACCTTACGAAATACGAAGGTCTCCGAGAGCTCACGCAGGCTCCTGGAATTCCACACTGATTCTCAGGCCCCATGTCGGCTTGTTGAGGCACTTTATCTGCTCTTGGTGCCCCGTCGCCGACCTCTGAGAGTCTCAATGTCAGAACTTATGGGGCCATGGGCCCTACACCGGCTTTTATGGCCCCTACATCGACTCTTGGGACTCATGACCCATGAAATGTGGGTCTAAGCGGCTTCTAAGAAGTAAGAATCCCCATGCTGGTTCTAGTGGCTGCCAGCCGAATATTAGGTTAGGGCTCACACGCGAGCTCCTGGGACCCCGTGCATACCCCAGGGGTTACCTGCCTCTAAGACCCCACACATACTTTTGGGGCTCAAACGCTTGCCCCTGAAGGCCCCACTGAGACCCCCTTCCTCTATTCAGTCCTCCATACCAGCTCTTTAGGCTAAACATCGGCTCCTGTGGCCTCCATCCAGGCTTTGGAGGGCC